AGGCTCAGCACAGACTCTGCTTCTTCTGCTCCTCCCTCTGTGTGTGCTTTCTCTCTCAAATAAATAAATGAATCAAATCTTTAAAGAAAAAAAAAAGAAATCAGTACAAGAGCCCAGCTCAACCAATTAGAGAGAAAACTGTTATAAGCTTAACCAGGATGAAGGTAAAAGGCCAGGCCAGAAACTAACATAAAACACTCTCTTAGCCAACAAAGGATTTTACTTTTCCTTCATCAAAGTGCTGCTGGGAAACAACAACAACAACAAAACACCATCGCTCCTTGTTGCTGCCACCAATTCGCTTGCATTCATCAGAGCAGGTTTCCAGGGAAAAATATTCACTGGTAGGTGAGCACATTTCTCAGTACCCTTTTTGAGGCTGTTGGGGCCAGTATCACTCTGGTCTTTGGCTTTGCAGTCCTCCTGAGTCCCTCATAACCCCAAGAATGCAGTTTCAACGCAGAGCAAAGGAAAAAAAGTAGCTTTCTCAGAGAGAATCTCCCTGAAGCCAAGAGGTACACAGACTCCCTCCCCTCAATTTCCTGGGGTGGTGATTCCATCCACCAGATGGAATATCTGGTGATATTCCAGATATCCATGCTGGAAACCTGGGAGTCATCCTTGACTCCCTACCTCTCCACCAGACCTCTAAACAGGTACCATATCCTGCTTATTCCACTTTATTAGTATCTCTACATGAGTCCCTCCTCTCTTGCTACTTTAATGTAGGCTTTCATCATCTCTTTCCTGGATTTGTACTGCACCACCTCCATTTTAGTTTCCCAACCTCCAATCTCACCTTCTCCCATCTCTCATCCACTCCTGGAGTGATAGTCCTAAACTCAAATTTGATCATGTTATTCCTTTAATTAAACCCTTCATTGATTCAAATGCGCCCTTTTGTTTCTTCCTCCGTGCTCTTTGGCTGGAACGCTTGCCCTCACCTCATCTTATTGGTCTGCCAAGCTGCTAGTCTTCTAAGCACCAGTTCAGCAGTGTTTCCTCTGTGAAGCCTTCCCTGATCACTTGATGAGAGCGCTTCCTATTTTCCTTTGGCCCTGCTTGAGAGCTGGTTCTTACTTCGTGCAGTGCTCACTACCTGCAGTACCTCAATCCATCTTGATTGTGTGTATCCCTGAAGCAAGCAAGATTCTGTGTTATCAAGCGTGGCCCAACATCTGGCAGGAAGTAGGTTCTTCGTGTTTGTTGACTAAAGAGAGGAGTAGTAAAGGAGAAGGGGAGACCTGAGCAAACGTGATCCTCGCTTTGCAATATACGAAAAGAGAGAAGGATGTGCCTCTTCTCAGAACCTGCGAAATACTACTGGGTCATAAGCCACATGGACCCACTAGGAGAATCTACCCTTAAACTGAAAAGTCATCTGACTACAAGAAGGCAACTAAAGGCTCCCAGACCACAGAATACACATAGGTCAATTTTTCACAGTGGCCTCCTGCTATCTTTACAGTGTTCTCTCCGCCACATTCAGGAGCTGCTATGGCCTACTCACTGAATTACTGTCTTGACCAACCCCATCTCTGACTGTCAAGAGGCAGGAGGAGTCTGAGACATCTTTCCAAAATCATGTGGTCAAAGGGTCAAAATTTCAGCATTCCTCATCTTCTCCCAAGGGGCACTATTTTTCTCAGGAGCACCCTCCATTGATTTCCATTCTTTCCTGACATATATCTAAAAGCTTCCTATAGCTGTTTGAGCCCATCCTTTTTCTGGCCACCTACTAGAGAAATCTCACTTGTCTCTATCCTTAAAGTACCCGGAAATGAGCATATGCTCGTGAATTAAACAAATGAGTTAAGGGATAATATCGGTTTCAAGGAGGACAGACTAGCATTTCTTTCAGGCGTACAGAGACCCCATCTGGTGCCATATGCTTTTTTTTTTTTTTTTTTCCTGGTCTCTTAGGTCTCTGAGAGCACAGGAGATAAGATTTTTACCTGACATAATTAAGTCCTTATAAGCTCCATTTGGGGTTTTTTTTGTTTGTTTCTTATTTTTTTTTTTTTTTTTTTGCAACAAATTTCTTCCTCTCCAATTGCAGCCAAAGAAAAGACATAGACTGTGAGGCCGCACCAATCAGTCCAACAGACAGATAGGGCCAGAGAGCCTATCCCTGCTGCTCACATAAGCAACAGCCCAAATTCAATCCAACTGCTCAACAGAGAGACTTGGGACATCTGGGAGCTTCCCTAGATCAGTGAGGTACATGTGTGGCTTGGACACAGAACTGAGTACAAGGTATGCCTATCCCTGGCAGTTTCTTTGGGAAAATCTGAGTGGTTAGAAACACTCAGGATTGTCTAGGAGATGACCACAGCAGGAGTGGAGCACGGGACGAGGTCTCCAAGAGGAATTCTCATTCCTTTCATAAGGAGACAGGAAGAGCCCCTGGGGTGCTCTCAGTGATAGGCCCAGGCCTGGTTCAGCTACTGAGATGCAGCCAGGCCAATTAAATAATTGTGATGGGAAAAGAAGGGAAGCCACTCCTTTCTGGCAAACTCCCATCCCAGACGGGAGGCTCCATGCAGCTGTGGCAACAGCAGCAGCAACAACAGGGCAGGGATCTCTTCCTCTTCCTCCCACTAGCTGAGAACTAATGCTTAAATTAGCACCTTGGAAACACCCAGATCTGCCGGCTGTGCCTTCTCTCCCAGCTCCCGCCACTCCCTTAGGCCTCCTTTTCAAGCTTGAGGTTCTCTTTCAAGTAAATAAGAAAAAAATAAAAATCTTCTTCCCTAGAAGAGCTTTTCAAGTAAAGAATGCCTTCTGGATTCTTTCCACCACTATGGGCTAGGGAGGGTTATTTAATGATGGTCCTCTAGACTTCAACCTGGGAACAGACTTCAAGAGGCAGAGGTCTCTGGGGCAATGCCTATGCCCCCAAATGGAGGGATGACTGTATTGACGCTTCCAAAAGGCTCTCATCAACCTCAACAAAGTATCCTCTTGCAGAGAAGGGCTCCATTAGCCTTCGAGAAAAAGGTCTGAAGGCAGCCTTTTCTGATAAGTGCCTTCTTGCATAAGCATTTCTACTCTAGAGTCACAGAGACCAGAAGCACCTCAGGAGTTTTCTGGGATCATTATTCACTCAAACTATCGTTGAGAACTTCAGGCAATAACAAAGGCACCAAGGACAACTAAGAAGGCCTTGTGACCCCATTCCTCCCTCCCCTTTCCTTGGACAACTCTTGCCTACCTTCTTAGGAACCTGAGATGGGAGGCAAGAACTAACTCATTGTTTTCTTCTCCTGACTCACTTGGACCTCCTCCTCCTACTTCATCCACCCATCCTTTTGATTCTTGATTAGATGCTAAGAACTGGAAGGGCAATCTAGTTTGACAAACCAGGCTGGAAAGATAATCCAGAAAGGAATGTTAAAGTTCTTCCAGTTCATGGGACAGACTTCTCATCAGGATTTTCTGGCCGCCAAATATTCCAATGAGGGCATCAGCCTAGGAAAAAAGTCCATCAGCATCTCTCTCCCCACTTTCATATTGTATACGTCTGTAAAGCTTCTCTGTTTGGGCTTCTAGAACTAAGTAGTCATAAAAAGGGAGAAAGGCCATTTATCTCCTGATAGGTGGCTCTTAATGATTCTCTCTACCATCCCCCAAAAGGTGTGGCTTAGAGTGGGTCATCGGTCCCTGCCAGGGTCTGTCTGGTCTGCTGTAATGGGTAGGTTACTTGCTCAGAAAGCTACAAAGCACATCTTTAACCAGGGACCCAAAGGCCCAAGAGTGGAACCTATTCCTCACCTATCTAACATAGAAGGAGGGGCCTTAGGGAGCCCCAGATCTTCAAGCTTTGGAGAGCTCTGCTCAGCTCCAGCAGAGCTTAGAGAATAGTGCATCCACACCTTCAGGTTCCTGGCCTGCCCTCTCTCCTTCCAGCTCCCCTTCAGGCTCCAAGGAGGAAGGGAGATGGAAAAGTGAACAGAGCAGGGCACTCCCTCCCTTCCCCCTCTCCTTATATCAGCTGGCTAGGCCTCAGCGGCGCCTCTCACCCCGCTGCCCACCGCCGGGCGTACAAGCCAGTCAGGTAACCCCCCTGAGCGGTGGCCATCGGGCATGGTCTCCCCTAAGGATGGCCTCGGTCGCCCGCCTCGCCCTCCCCCTTCCATGCCCTCCGCGCCGGCAACGATGACATCATTCCTCCCAGACTCCGGGACCGCGGACAGGCAGCAGGATGGGCGCCCAGCAAAGACTCAATGCACAGAGGCCGAGGATGCTGGGGGCTCTTCCGAAAGGGTGGGCACTGGCGACTCCAGCGCGACCCCGCCCCCTCTCCCGTCGGTTCCAGAGCTCTCTCATCCGCGCCCGTTTCTCCACCTCCCCGCTGCTCTCTCTCCTCCGTGACTCCGGCTCTAGCACCGCCCTGCCTAAGACTGCCTGCGCTCTCCTCAGGAGAAGAACGGAATTCAGGGGTCTTGCACCGACCCCCTGCCCCCACCGGACCTTGGTCCCGGCCCCGCGTTCCCATCCTTACCCAGAGAACTGGAGGGCTGGACCCCTCCTCCTCTGCCAGCCTATTCCCAGTCCCTTTTAGCCTAATTGCACCTGGCCCACAGGAGGCATCACAGGCCTCTAGGGCTAAGCGGCTCCTCACCTCTCATCCCAGCCCCCTGGGCCTGCCAGCGGCGGTGCCCCATGACAGTTCCTTTCCTTTCCCAGCTAAGGGCCTCCACTAGCAGTGTACACCATTGTGCCCCAAACGTTCCATCCGACGGCCCTCCCCGTAGCTCCCTTGGCCTGTCTCTGCTGACGGTGCCCTGAGCCTTTACAGGCCTCTTTGCTGTCACCCCGCGTATTTCCCCACGCTTTTCTTGTCCTGCAAGGCCTCCCTCCCGCGGCGATGCGATTTCAAGGCTCCCTTTGACCCATTCCAAGGCGCCCCCTCCGCAGTTACCAAGGCCTGATTCCCTCCCTCCCCCCCGGGCAGCGCCCCCTCCCGGTCCTGGCCTGCCCGCCGCCCGCCCCCTCACCAATGGCTGCATCTCCGAGTGCGCGGTGGGCACCTGGAACCGGTCGATCTCCTCCATCATGGTGCCGGCGGGCGAGCGGGCCGGGGGCCGGGCGCGGCCAGGGACGCCGACGGGACCGCGCGGGGCGGCGGCCCCAGGAGTCGGGTGGGTGGTGCAGACTAGGCCGCCCGGGACGAGTCGGGCGGGCAAACGTCCGGGCAGATGGAAGGGTGGGCTCGGGGCGGGAGGTTCGCTGGCTGGCTGAGCCCGGCGTGGCTCCGTGGGCTTGCCTTAGTGCTACCGCGGCTGTGGCCAGGCAAAGCCGCAGGTCTTGCCTCGCCTCCTCCTCCGCCGCCGCCTCCTGTCAGCAGCTCAGCCACTGCGGTGACTCGGCAACTCCACTTCCGGGTCCGGGACACCGCCTGAATCTGCATTATTCATGAGGAGGCAGAGCCTGGGTGCCCCAGCCCCTCCCACATGCCGGAGTTCTACTGCGCGCTGCCGCGGGTCGTATTATTCCTTAGGGGGCGGGTCTTAGTGTAGCCGGAGGTTCCCCGCGCGCCCAGCCCCGCCTCTCCCTCGAGCCGGGAGGGGGCGTCAGAGGCGCCTGCGCCTTGGCTAACGGTTGGTTGCTGGGCAACCGCGTCAGGGAGGAGCAGATTCAATGCTGCAAGGGCGCGGGGACCCACAACGACGGCTGTCCCCAAAGAACCCCTGCGACTGGGAACTGAAGTGAAAAAGAATCCAGATTTCCTGTGCGTGATCGAGGGGACAAACTCCTTGTCCTCAGGCAAGAGAGCATTTTGTAGGTGTTCCAAGTGTTGAGGTGTTTCCTGCTTCTTCCAAGATGCCCCAGAAACAGCCGCCTCGTAGGCAGGTAAACACAGCTCTCTCCCTTCTGACCTTCGCCACCAATGATCACTGATCATACTTCTACTGATCCTTCATTTTCCCTTCCCTGTTGACCCTTAACCTTCTCTTTCCCTGTGACCCCTGGCCTGTGTTCCCACTGACCTCTAACCCTGTCCTTTGCCCCTCCAATCCTAGCTTCCTCTCCCACACTGCCCCTGCCCCACTATTTCCACTTGTCGTCCGTCCCCTTTCCACTTGTCGTCCCCTCACCTTTCCATTCCCTCTCTCCACTCATACCACAGACCCTCCTGACCAACTTATCCTCCTTACCCCCCACCCTAACTCCCACTAATGCATCCCTCATTGCCATCACATTCTTGTCCCGAAGAAATTCTCTTTCCAGCCCTTTGCTGTATGCCCAGCGCTGGGCTAGGTGGGGACACAGGCCTTTGAGAGCCCACAGAAGGAGTGCAAGAGAATTGTACAGCAGACACAGAACAGATTATATACAGGAGTTTGGCTTAGATTTTCTGTGCTGGGCTACTTGTCAAGAGAGAGAGTTCAGGTAAAGAGGAAGAGGAGAGAGACCTTTTTCCCATTCTTGCCTGACCTCCTACTCACACACTTGCACACACCAAACACTGGCCCCTGACTATTTCTGGATCCTCATATGTCCCTCTGCTGTGAGCCCCTGGGCCACTCCTATGACTCATTCAACCGTGTAAACTTTGGGTCCTTGTTGCCACCTGGCTAGATGTCATTCCTTCTCACAGGAAACCCAGGAGTTAGCCCCTTCACCCACCAAGTACAGAGTTCTACTTTCCTCCCCAGCATCACTCTGGAAGGTGAGGTAAGGCCCAGCTTTTCAAGGATCCCTCTGTGGTTGCCACTCAGTCCTTTAAGAATTCATTTTTTCCAAACCCTTTTTGAGTTATCACCTTGGGACTAATATGCAGTTTCTGGCTCTGTGAAGCAGGACTTCTATTTATTTATTCTAAATTTTCCTCACTCAGATCTAGGTATTTTGAGGTTTGGAGAGCAAACCTGTGTCCATGATGTTTGTGACTTTACATATTTTGGTCTGGCCTTCTCCATATTAGCCTTTGCTACTTTGCTTCTTTCACCGGCCCTTCCATAGCAGGTGGACTCATCTTTCTTAGATCTCTGCAACCATGAGGAGGCTGATATTCCTGTATGGCCATGGCCTAGTTTTATGTTGGGGTTGAGCTCTGTGTTGAAGCTCATGTATTGTGCTTGGGCCCACTGACTTTACATGAAGTTTGTTTTAAATTCAGCATTACTGATGTCTTATTCACATACAATGAAATGAACATTTTAACATACATGTTGACAAGTTTTGAAAAAGTTATATAGTTGTGAACTACCACCACAATTGAGATAGAGGACACTTCCACTATCTCCAAAGTTTCCTTGTGCCTCATCCCAGTCAGTTCTCCCCAACCCCCCACCCCCAGATAACCACTGCTTTCTGTCACTGCAGATATTTGTCTTTTCTAGCACTTATAGTTTGAACAAGCTTGGGGTCAGTTTCTCCAACCCATTAGGGGAGACATTAGAGGCTAGTTTCACTGAGAGCAGAGAGAGGTGACAGCAGACAGGAAGCAGAAAAACCTGGGTCAACTCACCTTCAACTCACATATCAGCCCTGATCCCTGGAGGGAAGGGTTGTTTTAATATTGTGTAAATATTGTGTAAATATTGGTGTGTGGGGTGTGAGAAAAGGATGGGTTGTGCTAGGTTGTATTCTTCAGTCTCTTGTCTCAGTGAATGGCAATCTGGGTCAATGGTGATCTGGGCATGGGACAGTCTAGAGAGGTTTGAGAAGTTGTGCCTTTCCTCTGGGAACTCAGTTCAATGGGGGACACAGAACACAGGCATACAAAGATAAAAGAGAATGGGATTCCTGGGGCTGGCAGGAAGAGAGACATGCAGGTTGGAGCAGTAGAAAAGCTTCAGGGAGGTGGTATCAATGACTTGGATGCCTGCAGTGGAAAGGGAAGGTCAGGATGGAGCTTATTAGGACAGAGAAGAGTTTAACTCCATTGTTCATGTCACTCCACTGATCAGACCTTTCAATGGCTCCCTCTTGCTCTCAGGATAAAGTCCCAAAAGTCAGACTTGTTTTGTATGGCCTGCAAGGCCTAGCATGGTCTATCTAGCCTTACTATCAACCCTACTTCAAATTCCACTATTGTTCTGTGAACATTCCACAATCCCAGAACACTGAACTGCCCTCACTTCCTGGAAAATGACATCCACACACTCTTCTCCTCTAGGCCTTTGAAACTGCTGTTTTCTCTACCTGCTTGGTATAATCATTTCTATCTGCTGCCACCTGTTCCATGCCACTCTGCCTCAAATCTCTTCATTTCTGGCCATACAATCAAGTCTCAGCTTGGCTGTCATATTCTATAAGGGATTAAGTCCCATTTCTGGAGGCAGGATAGGGTGATAGCCCCCTGAGACTATAAACTCAGTGATAGCAAGGATCATGTCTATCTCATTCATTGTTGAGTCCCCTGAACCTAGCACAATGTCTGGAATATATTAAATTCTGAAAATGAATTGAATATGAGTTCTGAATGCCTGGAGCTGTTCTTTAGGAGTTTTGATCTGAGTGTGTTTGAAGGATAGGAATGGGTAAGCCTGGGAAGAAGAGACTAGTTGGGAGTAATAACAAGAAAATGTCACCGTAGAAGCATGTTTTTCTGGGTTCATGTTTATATCTGCTTTGGCAGTAGGGCTGTGAATGATTCAGATTTGAATCACATGTACCCATGGTTTAAGAGCTGGGTATTAGAGATTTAAGAGGTCAACAATTCTGATGATATAGTCATTCTCATTCCACAATTATTCATTGGTTACATACTATATGCCAGGTACTGGTCTAGGTATTGGTGATATAGCAACAAACAAAACAACCCCAAATCTCTGTTCTCATGGAGCTTATCTTTTAGTTGGAGGTAAACTATCAATAAATAAATAAGTAGGGGTGCCTGGGTGGCTCAGATGGTTAAGCGTCTGCCTTCGGCTCAGGTCATGATCCCAGGGTCCTGGGATCGAGTCCCGCATCGGGCTCCCTGCTAGGCGGGGAGCCTGCTTCTCCCTCTGCCTCTGCCTCTCTCTCTGACTCTCATGAATAAATAAATAAAACATTTTAAAAAAATGAAAAGAAAAAAATAAATAAGTAAAATATATGGTTGATCAGATGGTGATAGGTGTCAAGGATTAAAATAAAGCAGGGAAGTGGAGTAGGAAGTTCAGGGAACCAGAAGATTATGATTTAAATATAGTCATCACTGAAGGTCTCACAAAGGTGGCATTTGAGAAAGACCTGAAGGAAATGAACGAGTTAGCCTCCAGACAGAGGGCATAGCAACAATAAAGTTCCTAAGATGGAAGCTTGCTATACATGTTCTGGATCAGCAAGGAAGGGAAGGCGGAAAGTGACAGGAAATAAGGTCAGAGAGGTGTATCCCTCTACTCCATAGGGTTAATCAAATAACCCATGCCATATTAAATTGGTCGTTATAGAGCTCCATGAATCATAATTTGTAATGAAAATGCATGAATGTCAGGCATCATAAACCATGACCAGCTCAAAACATCACTGGTAATGCCCCAATAATGAAGTGTCCTTCCTGAAAATTTTGAGAATTCCAACTGGCTGCATGTGTATATGTGCAGGAGGAATTTTGCAACGTTGCCAAACATTGCCTGGCAGCCAGACTTCTTAGTAGAGAACTGAATTAGAGTCTTCTGTGAACTCCAGTTAAAAGCTAATTTTAGTTTATGACTAACAAATTTTAGTACTTCTTTATAACTCAGTTATTACCATAAAAAAAAAAAATCAGTCTGGAATTTTGCATCATTTGCCTGTGAGAGCCAAAGGAAAAGCCTTGCATTTTTGGATCATTTTATGGTCTCTCCAGAGGCCCCTCGCAGACAATACTTTTAGAACTGATGATCTTGATGAGGGGTGACTAGGGTAGGGGAGAATCGGCAAGAATGCATGCAAGGCCCAAAACAAGTCTTAGGCGATTCAGAGGTTTTTGGTCTGATGACAGGGCCTGGGATCCATAGAAAAAAGGACAAGAGGAGGTGAGCAGAATCGAAGGGCAGGTGAAATGTATCTATATGTTTCAAAATAAGATATCCATGGTCTTATGACCCTTCTTCTCAGTGTCATCCTTACACCTCTTATCTTCTTCAAGCCCTAGATGTGATCCTTTGCCCCTTTAGCTCCTAAATATCTCTCAAATCAAACCCCTTTTTTCATTTTCACTTCCACCTTCTTAGCCCAGCCTATACCATCTCTCACCCAGAGTGCTGCAAAAGCCTTGTAACTGGTATCCCCCTCATCCACTCATGCTCCTTCTAATCCAGTCTCCACAACTGCATCAAGTGATTTTTTCAAACTGTCAGTTTGATTATGTCATTCCCACTCAGAACCTTTCAGTGACTGCCCATTGCTCTTAGCATAGGGACAAATTTTTTAGATAACCCTTCAGGG